GTTTAGGGATGGGTAACTTATCTTCAATTTCTATACTAGTTTTTTAATCTCTTTTTCAGATCCCATAGTAGCTTAATATATTGGCAAATTACCCCCCTTATAATGACTTGAGCTAGCCTTTCTACTTGAGTGATCTTTTGGATTTGATTTTGGCCCAATTCGTATTAATTATAATATGGTATTAGAGCCTAGGTAAGAAGGGGGGGCCGGGTGTCAAGATCCCATTGACGGAGTATACTGGTAAAGTACCCCCCCCTTAGACTTGGATCCTCTCCCTTGAGCTAGCTTTTTGGGTTGAGTTACACCCAGTATATTATGAATTTGAATATCCTTGAAAAGAAAAATCCTTGTGCTTTGAAGAATGCATATTTGAGATTATGTCCAGAAAATTTCCTAAAATTATTGGAATCAAATTTAGAAGACAACAAATCTGTCGGTCTATTTTTAGTTGTCTTGTTAAGACTAAAAAATCCTCCCTTTTTTATTGTCCCATTTTTTTTTCCAGTTGAACTTTTTAATCAGGTATGATCATCAGACTTGCATGCTAAGTTTCACTTAATTGCTCATCTTTACAGGTTGTTTTGAACAATGCCACTGTGGAGACTGATAATCCTGATTTGAGAGATCGTGCATACATATATTGGCGTCTTCTTTCAACTGATCCTGAGGTTTTATTTCTTGAACTTGAGTCTGATCTCTTTTGTTTGCAATGATATATACATGGGGTCAATAGTTGAGCTGCATATCTAACTAAAGGTTGGATAATCACCAAAACGGTTAACTATTTACAGAAGACTGCTTAATTTGTCCTATCATTCTGTGCAAAATACTAGTATACATTTAGGGTGGACCTTTTGGCCATGAATTGGTGGTTTGGATCTAATCACATGGAAATAATAGGTGTTCTACATTTATTATTATTTTTTTTTAATTTCTTTGGATCAGTATGGAGCAGTACATTTAATGTATCTATTCTGTTTTCCTCAGGCTGCTAAGGATGTAGTGTTAGCTGAGAAGCCTGTGATAACTGATGATTCAAACCAACTTGAACCTTCTCTACTTGATGAGCTTCTTGCCAACATTGCTACACTATCTTCTGTTTATCACAAGCCTCCAGATGCTTTTGTAACTCGTGTACACTCTTCAGCTCAGAGAACTGAAGACGAGGACTATCCTGAAGGAAGTGAATCAGGGTTTCCTGAGTCACCAGCAAATCCTGCTAATGGTCTTGCATCACCACCTACTGCCAGGCAATCAGCATCTACATCTGCAACAGGTGCACCAGCCACACCTCCATCTGTTGCACCTGTGCCAGATTTACTTGGTGATCTGATGAACATGGATAATTCTATTGTTCCCGTTGATCAGCCAGCTACTCCTACTGGGTGAGTGCCATCTGGGGTCATTAACATATTTTTGTGCAATAGTGTTATCTTTTTTTTTTTTTTTTTTTTTTTTTCA